AAATAGTTCGTTTGACTGGACGTGAACAGGAGACGTTCAGAAATAGAATCGGGACCAGGTCTCTAATTAGTCTGGAAACGGGGGATCTAATTCTTGCATTCTGTGAAAACGGGTAAGATTGGCTATAATGTAATTATCTTAATCTTCACTATCGTTACTTTTTGCCCACAAATAAAAACCCAGCGAAGCGGATCCTTGCAGCTAGATTCTAGATTACTTAGAAAAACAGTATTTTATATATAAAAAACAAAAACTATATTACATACAAATGTACGAACAAATAAAAACCCAGCGAAGCGGGTCCTTGCAGCTAGTTGTTAATATAAATAATAATTAAAATTGTTAAATTAATTTGAATGTTTGAAATATGACACACGATAAAGGCGCCTTTAGTGTCCGTTTTCAAACGGTTACGGGACGGACGGACACCTGTTGAATGGCTTATATATACAGTATATAGATTCTAAATTCGACGAATTCGATTCCAAATTCTGACGAATTTTAAAGTGTTCAAAAATTGATTTTTTTTTTTTTTACTTTATAGAGCTCTCTGGCAACTAGTAATATTATTACGATATACAAAACTGTATTTCTAGATTTTTCTACAGTGTGCGGAGCTAGAAATCTGTAAAGGTAACATTTTGTAACAAATATAAATCTGTCCGAGGATTTTTTTAAAATTACTAAATTGAAAACGGTAACTCCCGAATAAATTCTTAGTCTCGAGGTTGTAAAATGCGTGCAGAAATTCTGACATCATTTTTTGCTTTATAGTGGTACGCGTACGCGGTGTATACCCGAACGGCGGATTAAGCGGTAAGCGAACTATGCGGGCGCGCGGGGCCCCGAAGGGGCTCCCGCAGTCTTTAAAATGCTACCGAAAAAGGGATTGCGAAAACGCGGAAGGTAGAAATAGTCCAGAAAAACGCTTCGATATATATAGACACATGGAAGTAATAAATGATATAGCTTTATGGCCAACAATATTAACAGATGCTATTATTGATCATATTCTTAAAACAAACCAAAAAGTATAGAAAAGGAATTTCTTAAATTGATAAACGAAAAAAAAGGAGTTCAGATAATGGCAATAGATAAAACGCCAGATGAAGGAAGTAACTCGACACCCGAAAAATTATTTAAAATACAAATTTACAGCGTACTCGACACTATTGTGTCGAATAGATTGGCATTATGAAAAAAATGAAAACTATCTGTGACGAAAAAAATGAAAACTATCTGTGTTTTCTGTGGCTCGTCTTTACAATACACGAGTGTTGCCGATTTAAAAAAATCGGCTGCGGATCTCGCTATTAAATATAGGAAAGATTTAAAAAAAAGTACGAATTGGCCAGTGAAATTGAAAGTTTTAATTTTGAAGTAACGACTCTTATACAAAATATAGAAGCTGCATCTCCGCTTAATATTCTACAGGCTCCATGATTTTGGTTTAATCGAGTCTTACCCAAATATCAATGTCGCTCTTAGAATACAGTATTTCTAACTCTTCCCGTTTCTATCGCTTCGTGCGAGAGAATTTTAGCGACTTAATAAAAAATTATTTAAGATCAACTATCGGACGAGAACGATTATCCAATATATTATTTCGATAGAAAATAAAACACTGAACACCTTATAACGCTGAGATATATTTATTAAAACACAAACGTTTTCAGCCTAATATAATAGGCCATCATCAGGTGAATTTGCTGTCGAACACCTTTTGAAAATTCTGTTAAATGGAACTTTCGAACCTTATAAATTCAAAATTATAACGTAAAATAAATTAACCAATCAATACACAATAACTATAATAAATAAATTAAAGCCATATTAATATAAATAATAAAATAAGGCGATATAAAAATAAAAACAAATAAATAAACCCAAAATATTAAATGCACAAAAAGGATTAAACTCATAAAATATATACATCAAAAAGCATCACATTATAAAGGGCAGATAGGAATTAATAATTTGTGTGTTTTAACTTTTCTTTTACAAGGAACTTCCACGCCGAAGGTAAACTATCAGCATCCCTTGCATTAATACAGCCGTCTCTTAATTTACTCTTATAAATTTCAATTTTTTCATGTTGCAACGCCAAAGATGGGGACCGCAACGTCTTTAGAATAGATGCTTCATTCCATTTCACTACAGACGCCTCCGCTTGTGCCATATTTGACAAAATCGTGGTGCAATGTCCTTTACTAATGTCATATCTGTGTTCTTTAANCCAATCCACAGTGACTTCTGTCGGGTCTGCTATAACATACGTTGCTAGTGCCGTGACTGGTTGCTCATTCTGCACATTCCTTTTATGCTCTTTTAGTCTTTCTTTTAACGATCTCCCTGTGGCTCTGATGTAGTATAGCTCTTTTTGTCACCTTACGTCTTGTAGCGGTATTCTATATATTCCTGGAATCGAGCTCTGGTCTATATCTTCCTTGTCTATGCATAGCATTTGGTATATTGTGGGATTCCTTTTAAAAATTAACTTTTTGTTTGTTGCTGCTCCTATTTCTTTGTAAATATTGCTTAAAGGTGTAATGTATTCCATTACAATGTATTCTTTTATTCTTTCTCACTCATTATCTTCATTATCATTTGTTCTTGTTTTGTTAATAATGGCCTTTATTGTATTCTGGTAGATACAGCACTGCTTAGCTAGTACTTTGACGTGATCTAATTCTTTAATTCTGTCTTGTGGCAGTGTATGTACGCTCTCTTTATAAGTGCCTGGAATGCTGCTATGTTGTAGCTTGCCAGGTTCGTGGGAGTTCAATCGTACGAACAGTGGGTTATACGTTGCCTTTCTGTAAACTTTTGTAGCGATTTTCTCTCATTTCTCTACTTCTATTTCTATTTGAAGTAATGGAGACGCACATAAAAATATAATTTTAGTCTTTTAATTCTCCTGTTTTCACAGACCAAATTAGAAGTAACAGTCAAATAACTTGAAGAAATAAAAAATCTTCTAAAACATTTAAGAATAGATTATTAAAAATTATCACAAAGTTAAAATATGTGTTACTTCAAATTTAAGAAACTCCTAGGAAATGTCATCTTTACATATTACTTTATGCAAATTCTATTTCTATGTCTAGAAAATGCATACTTTTGTTGTTCTTTCTCTAGTTCGAGCTCTAGGCCGAACTTGTTGGAATTGATGTGTCTGATAAATTGTTGAATGTCTCGTTTTTCTTTCCATATAATCAAGACATTGTCAACATAGTGTACATATATTACAATGTGTGCTGCATATTTTAGTAAGATTGCTTTCTCTAAAGTCCTTAAGACCATCTCTGAAAACGTTTGTGTTTTAATAAATATATCTCAGCGTTATAAGGTGTTCAGTGTTTTATTTTTTAAAAAGAAGCTGAGTGGATATCCAATTTATTTCGATAGAATACAATATCGTTAAAAATATTAATTACGAAGGTGTAATTAATGAATTTGCCGAAACGAAAGCCAGAAAAATTCAATTAAAATAAATCTTATTAAAAATCTATCGTAATGTATTTGTTTTATTATTTTTCCAAAACCAAATAAATTAAGGGGCCTAAATGCAAATTCTTGCACGGGGCACGGGAATGGCTAGTTACGGCTCTGTCTCTAACTCATATTTTTCAAGATTAATTTCAATTTATTACAGTTCGTCGCGCAGTATTTGGTTGCGATTTCATAAAATCCCCCGTGTTCCTTCGGAATGGATACGGTGACACTTTTGATCTAAAGGTAAAGGTTACAAATAAAAATGTAGAATTTTACTTAATATTTAAACAAACTGAAGTAAAAGGGGCAATGAAAAGATAAACATCTTACCTTAATTAATATGGCTTTAATACCCGGACTTAATGTTTTAAAGCCAAATTACAGAGGAAAAAATTAGTTAAATAGAACGGTAACGTTTATGAAGAAAATAATTTACATTTAGATATTCTCAGACTGTTCCGGAAGGCGGAAAGCTCGGCCGGTTGGCCGAGCGGTCATGACGGCAGCCTACCACTGGGAAACCCGGGATCGAGTCTGGACCGGTCGAAAAATCCCCAGGAATTTTTCGGGGGTAGTCCGTCCGTCACCACCCGGCCGACCCATGGCGGGCCTGGCTAAACCCATAATGGGCTTTCTAAAAGAGGCCTCTTTAGTGCCCGCAGGGAGGAAAGAGTTAAAAAAAAATCGAAATTTGTTTTAAATAATAATAAATAATATTGTTATTATATAATTTTTAAACGAATCACATAATCACATTTTTGTTTTTTTTTTAAATTTAATTTTCTATATTCTAATACAATTTTTAAGAGTTCTCGTACCAAAATTAAAAAAAATATTCTCAAATTATTAATATTAAAAATTTCGTATTATACAATCACGTATTTAAGAAAATGACAAGGGTTGCGTAAGCGATGACGTCATTCTTGCTTAGTTGCAAATTGCGGCGAACGTAGGAAATTGACGAAGAGAATCGAAAATGTCTTTGAACGTTGCCCACGCCAACGGAGGAGTTTTGATATTTAACGGAGAATAGTAAGTTCCGTAATTATTAAAGCCTTATATCGAAAATGACACTCTTAATCCATCGATGGTAAAGATTGTATAATTTGCTTTTCGTGCGCAATTTATGCTTTAATTGCGTCTGATTACAATTTAGGGGAATTCCATTAAACTTTCTTGTCGATTTCGTTTAAATTTTGATCAGAAGTGTTGCATCCGTTGACGTTTTCCAGTATACGTATTTGTCGATGACGTAAGAAATATTTGTATTTCGAATAAGTAAATTAAATCAATTTAAGACCTTTATTTGTCTTAACGGGCAAATAAACAAACCTGGAAAAATTCTAAAATCTAGCAATTGCTACGAGAAAAGGTCCGCTCAAAGTGTTTACTTTTTCCTTAATAAAGAATATTTTTATACGTTATTTTTCGATAAATAAACAAATTTTATGAATATAAATAAAACTAACCTAGCCCGGGCCTCGCGTTCTATTGCGAAAACCGTGCCCGGGATGGATTTCTTTAATAAATCTAATTCCTCCGGTGCCGGCCTTTCCACTTCGAACGCCTGGAAGATTTTGACGCGTTCGAGTCTGGGTGTCGAATGCGGATCCGGAATCCGCGCGTTCGGGCCGGAACGTCCCGGGAGGAAGGTTCCCGGTCCGGGCCGAAGACGTTGGCGACGGTTTTTGCGGTTAAATGCCGAGCCCTCGCCGGGTCGGTGAGTTTTATTTATATTGATTAATGCCTCGCCGTTAGAAAATTAACCGCGTGAATATTAATTTGTTTCTTTGAGAATTAGTGTTTTTACCGGTGGTGTGTTATCCCGCGGGTAAAAAGGGAAATTACCCGGGGCCCCAAACCGACGTTTTACGAGAAAATGTTTCTCCGAAAACGTTTCCCCCCGGAAAAACGTCCGAAGTCGACGTCGCGTGCGGGGGACCTCCGATTCGAATTTGCCCGACCTGGCGAAGCTGCGGTGTGCCGTCGGTTTTTACCGTATTTTGGCAACTTTGGCGGGTGTGAAAATATGTGGGGAAAACCCGAGCGGATGCTTAAATTGGGTCGAGTGCCGAAATATAGACTCTGTATGATGTCGTACGGGATGGTTCGTATAGACCGAACTTTCTCGGTGCGTTTATTATGCACTGTGTGTACTGTACGTATAATACACGAATAAATAACTAAAATAAAATAAATAAGTAAATAAATACATAAATACAATAAATATGTAAATAAATACGTAACACAATTACTAATATAGAGAAGGACACTGTAGTGCCTGCTTCTTTAACTGCTCGTCCCTTTACTTTATAATAGAATATTCAAATTAATCCCACTTCCCAAGCTTCTGAGATTTTACTGGATTCTCTAAAGTTTATTGCTAATCCTTATTGGTTTGTCTTATGTATCTGCCGTGCTTCTGCATATTTCAAATGCCTCTTCTTTTGGATCTTTTGTATTATTTTAGCCCTTTCCCAATCCACAGTGACTTCTGTCGGGTCTGCTATAACATACGTTGCTAGTGCCGTGACTGGTTGCTCATTCTGCACATTCCTTTTATGCTCTTTTAGTCTTTCTTTTAACGATCTCCCTGTGGCTCTGATGTAGTATAGCTCTTTTTGTCACCTTACGTCTTGTAGCGGTATTCTATATATTCCTGGAATCGAGCTCTGGTCTATATCTTCCTTGTCTATGCATAGCATTTGGTATATTGTGGGATTCCTTTTAAAAATTAACTTTTTGTTTGTTGCTGCTCCTATTTCTTTGTAAATATTGCTTAAAGGTGTAATGTATTCCATTACAATGTATTCTTTTATTCTTTCTCACTCATTATCTTCATTATCATTTGTTCTTGTTTTGTTAATAATGGCCTTTATTGTATTCTGGTAGATACAGCACTGCTTAGCTAGTACTTTGACGTGATCTAATTCTTTAATTCTGTCTTGTGGCAGTGTATGTACGCTCTCTTTATAAGTGCCTGGAATGCTGCTATGTTGTAGCTTGCCAGGTTCGTGGGAGTTCAATCGTACGAACAGTGGGTTATACGTTGCCTTTCTGTAAACTTTTGTAGCGATTTTCTCTCATTTCTCTACTTCTATTTTTATTTGAAGTAATGGAGACGCACATAAAAATATAATTTTAGTCTTTTAATTCTCCTGTTTTCACAGACCAAATTAGAAGTAACAGTCAAATAACTTGAAGAAATAAAAAATCTTCTAAAACATTAAAGAATAGATTATTAAAAATTATCACAAAGTTAAAATATGTGTTACTTCAAATTTAAGAAACTCCTAGGAAATGTCATCTTTACATATTACTTTATGCAAATTCTATTTCTATGTCTAGAAAATGCATACTTTTGTTGTTCTTTCTCTAGTTCGAGCTCTAGGCCGAACTTGTTGGAATTGATGTGTCTGATAAATTGTTGAATGTCTCGTTTTTCTTTCCATATAATCAAGACATTGTCAACATAGTGTACATATATTACAATGTGTGCTGCATATTTTAGTAAGATTGCTTTCTCTAAAGTCCTTAAGACCATCTCGCATAATGCCCCTGAAATATGACTTCCCATTGCCCCTCCTCTATGTTGTGTGTATGCAACTCCATTAAAGTTAAAGATCGATGAATACGTAGCAAGTTAGGTTTGTTCCAGTATTTGTTTTTTCATATTTACTGCAATTCCTATCTTGCTCATTAGGAAGTCTCTCAAGTGGCAAAAATGTGGCTCTAGTTTGATTGAGGGGTATAAGGCCTTGAAATCCAGTACTGTCGTGTAAATTCCTTCTTTTAGTTTCATATTTTTCATTTTCTGTAGAAATTCTAGGGGTTGTTTTATGCTGTAATCGTGTGGAGACATGTACGCATTGATGAAATTCTTGTGTAATCTTTCTGGGATTACCGTAGGCAAGCAACATTTATCCACCACAAGTCTTATGCTTCTTTCTGGTTTGTGTGTTTTGGCAAACCGAATAATCTAGGAATTTATGGAGATGCGACTAATATCTTCTTCATTCTGAACTCTTTTACAAGGGGTGTGTTAGAAGTGTTTGACTCTTGCTTGTAGCTGCTCCTGAGCACATGGATGGGCAGTCTTGCATTGCGTTTCTTTTATGTACTTTAATAAAAGCTCATTACATGTAGATCTTTAATAAAAGCTCATTATATGTAGATCTTTTCATTACCACCATGTCCTTCGATTTGGCGGCTGTTGTAAGTACAATATTATTAAGATTCATCCATTTTTTACTTTCTCTTATATTTTTCCATATTGTGCTATGGCCTATTCTGGTATATCCATCCTTTATTTTAAATGCTGTTTTCTATCTGAATACCTTTTAATTTTGCTTAGCCCTTCCAATGCTTGTTCCACATCAGGGATGATCTTTTTGTATGCTAGCTTAGGCTACAATACATATTAGGGGCCAAATTTGCATAGTTCATTGATACGTGGTGCTGGTGTAATGTTGTTCCAGCATATGATTGTGGGGGCTTGCGGCCTAATTCTGCTCTGTTGATGCTTCTTTATCCATTCCATTTTCTTCTTATAATTCTTGTGCATTCTTTCTACGAGTATGAGAATGATCTCCTGTTGCATCACAATATTCACATTTATAATTTTGAAGAATGCGACATATAACTTATAATACTTCTATACTAAAGTTCATACGTTATATATCAGTATATCTTTCAGTGGTATATTTATCTATAAATGTGAAATTTTTTCTATTATTCTTTCATATTAAAGGTCTGTTAGAGTGCTTATACTAATGTGCAACTATTTAAATAAGAACTTGCAGCATGATCATTGATCAAAATACTGCTTAATGATTTTGATTTAAAGCATTATTTCAATAGGAAAATTTTTGAGAATCTTTTTGCAGGGTCTAAGAAACAAAAAGACAACTTGTTAATTTCATTAAGTAGCTTATTTTTATATTAAAATAGAACAAAAACAATTGTTAAAATGCAAATTGGGAGTAAAATAATTGCTAATTTCTTTCTTTCTAATAAATTTTAGCTTCATTTTAAATTTTTCCTTTTTAGTATTTTAGTTTTAAAAGTTTAAAAATGTCTTAAAATCATTGTTATCGCCTGTTTGACGAAGAATCCTGCTTAATGATATTGATTGGTGAAATGGAGAAAGACCCGATATAAGCTGCAATATCTGTCATCGCAAATATCCTCAATACTTTTCATTTTCAATTAGGAAAAGATTTGAAGAGTTAGACCAGTTCAAGGTTGCCTAAGGGTTACAGTACTGACTGATGATCATTATCTGGCCCTTAACTGCTAGACGTGGTAGATGTCGGCACAACTCTGTGTTTGCAGTATCACACGCATTGTTTTAAGAGTTAACTATAGCTCTGTCTCGATCAGAGAGATTCTTATGTGTCTCACTAACATCCTCTCACAAACAGGGTTTTGTCACTGGCCTGGCAAGAGTTGATTCGTAGCATGCTCTAGCCGTTCGTTGTATATGGGCAGGCCAACACGTTGCGCATGCGCGACATAAATTTTTTGGAAACGTTCGAACTCTTCGTTAATGGCATTTGTTAATCAAATTTCCATCTAAAAATTGTTAAGAACCCGAAGCAGAGCCTAGAAGGGGTTCGAAAACGTTCGTTTTCCAATGTTTTTCGACGTTATCACTTCAGTGTATTGGTTCCGAGGGCATAATTTTTAAATTAGTATGGTGCGGTGAGTAGTTATTTAATTTAAACACGTTGGTTGAATTTATACTGGTCATATCCTGACGAAGATCGAGTTTTTGGTCGAAAACATTAGTTTTGTCTAAATCTGTTTATACCTGGGATATAAAAAAGGTTTTTAGTGTTAATAAATTCGTGTGAATGGGGAATTTTTTCCCATATTTTGTAATAATAATCCACTAATAATATTACTGTTGATTATTATTTGTTATGATTTGACTCCTCTTTAGATGATAAACTGGCTCTGAAAAGAGCCTTTTGTGATAAATTCGGAATTTAAAAGGTTTTTTTTTTACTTAACCTTTTTTTTTTTATTTT